TTGACAAAGATGTTGTTAAACCAACAAATAAAAGAAAGACAATAGGCTTTCAATTGAGCACTGATAAAAGTGACACAGAATAGAAAAGGACTTCTTCTAAATGTGCAGTCTCTGCTCACCATGTTTGACAACAGATGCAGTTTTCACATCCAGTTTAAGTTGGTTGTCAAAGAAACGTACCCAGATAGTTGTAAGAAGCAACATTTTCAACTTTTTCATTGTGGATAATGCACCCTGCAGCTGTGCTTTTGTTTCGTCTGAAATCTAAGATGAGCTCCCTGGTTTAGCAGCATTCAAATCTCAAAAGTTATTCTCACATCAAGTTATAAAGTCGGTGAGCGCTCTCCCATGCTCAGTTTCACGTCCACAAAGAAGTGACAGCAGGGTAGTATCGTCTGAAAATGTAACCAGAAAACTACCCTCCTGAGTGCTCTCACATCCATCTGTATACAGAATGAATAAAAGAGGAGATAACATGCACCCCTGTGGAAAACCAGTCGATGCAGTAGTGCAGTCAGACAAGTGGTTATTTACAAGGACAGATTGTTTAAAAGTAAAAAAAACCAAAAAAAAACAAACAAAGAACTTCCATGAAACTAGTTGGAGGGGCAAATTTAAATTATTTTAAATGTTCTCCAGATGTAGTAGTAGAAGTAGAACTAAAAAAATCATAATATATGGTTTTGGATTTCCAGTGTTTATTTTAAGCATTTCTAATGCACACTATTTCCTTGGCAATGTTGATTTCCCCCATGACTCACTTAAGCGTGTTCGATGACCCGAAACTATTCTAGCTCTCTCCATGTAAACACATTTAATAACATGCACCAACAGAAGCTCTTATTAGTCTACCTGCAAAAACAATTACTAACATCCAATGAGAGACTACACTTATTTTTGTAACTAAATTGACTCTAACTTCAGTGACTCAGGGTTTCCCACAGCACAGATGGAGCTTGTGCGTGCGAGTTATGAGTAAATATGGTGACGATGCAGAGGTGGAAAAGTCACAGGAAGTAGAAGGCTAGCTCATTAGCGCCCTTGCTGCTCTCACTGTAATTGGGAAAAGCTTAACACGACCATTGCAGTCTGATTAAGCACAAACTAGCCCCCGTGTTCATTACAGACACTGCGCTGATCATTTATTATGCCGGAGAGATGGTGGAGTCTTCATTTGCATGCATGTGGGTGGGTCGCTCATTTGGTGGTTTGAGGGGAAAATAGTAGAGGGCCCTTTGACGAGGAATAGAAATGATGCAGCAAAAAAGTGCGAGTGTGTGGTTAGAATGTTGGAAAAAGCATCTAACAGCAAAGTGAAATCTTTTTTTAATTAGCTAAGGGGGTTAGACTTTGTCAAAAAAAAAAAAAACTGGCTTTATAACCAGATCTAAACCAAACATATATAAAGACTAAAAAGTCTAAATTGTGTTCAAATAGGATTATAATGGCTGAAATGGTGTGAGAACAATGTGAGAACAGTAAAGTTATATCTTCCTTTTATTTTAGAGAGATAAACTAAAGCACTATGCCATTTATTTTTTAAAGATCCTTATTACACAAAAATGGCTCTTGTGAACTTGAGCTTTAAGCCATGTTAGATTGTTTCATTCACACATGGAGTTTAAAAACACAGAGTACTACTTCCTTTATTACTAAATGACATCACAAGGTGTTTTCTGTTTGAGAGAAGAAATCATCCTAAATATGCAGGATTATTGTGCTAAACATGTGTGTATGAAGCCGATAAAATTGGCCTTTTAATAAGTATGAAGTTGTTCAAGTATAGTGCATTATGCTTAATATAATATAATATAATATAATATAATATATTAAATGCAATCCACTTTATACATGTATAGCACATTGCATAAACCAAAGTTTCTCAAGTGCTGCAGAATACAGATTAAAAGATACAGTCCTTGTTAGGTATAAAACTATAAAACTAGTCAAATCAAATAAAAATGCCATAAAAATAAATAAAAGACACAGAGAACTAGAGCTGGATATCATTCAGAGGTTGCTGATACGATACATACCTCGATACATAGGCCACACTTCGATACATATCTAGGTACAGTCAGCTTTCGATTCAGTATGACTCATTAAGATATATTTCAAATCGATTTGATATAGTTCAATAAAAAATTATGGCTGTGATACTAAAAGTCTTTGTTAAATCACTTTTTGTGCAAAGTTAATCTGAAACACAAACATTTTAATCCTCAAAACAGTGAAGATGTCAGATGTGTTGCATAAATGAGTTTCTATCCTCTGAACAAGCAACAAAACTGTTGGACTGTACCAAAATAATTTAGTAAAATATAAAAAAAAAATATATACTCTTGGCAATATATCGATACAGCAGCCCACGATATCGATACTGCATCATCACATTAAACAATACAATACAATGTACAACAATGCAATATCTCGATATTTCAATATTTTTTCACACCCTTACAGAGGACCACACAGTTTAGTGCATGTCATATAATATTGAAAGTGTTGCACTTAAAATCTCCATGATACTTTTTACTGCTAGCTTCTACTGTGGCTACTGTGACTTTTTATATAACATATCAGGTTTTATGTAACAATATGCATGCAGCAAAATGGACTTTCCCCTATTGTACCCTCTGCAGGGATTTGTGCCTGCTTACATGTTTTAGCCAGCACAGATTTGACTTTTCTATTGAACATTATGTCTGGAGTAGCTGATCCCCCTGCAAGCTGCCACTGCATTTACAAAATCCTGCAGATTTCAAGATGATCTCTGCTGAGGGGACGACAAATTGAAAACCAAAATCCCTAAAGTATATTTTTCATCCTCTTGTATATCCCCCAAACACCTCTTTTTAACTCTCCCATAAGTATGATTAATGTTTAGCTCCACTGATGCAGTTGCCATAGTAACCATAGAAATTCATACTGCAGATTCATTGAGTTGAAGGGTGAAATATTTATTCTAAAGGCTTTTGTGAAAACAACTTTGAGTACCCATTCCTCTGCAGTGTTATGGGGTCTGGACAATCAGCATGTATTGTGTTGAATGGGGCCACATAACTCACCTCCACAGGCTCAGGGCATCAACTGTTCAAGTGATTATAGCTATTCTAATGTCTTGCTGGCTACAGGTAATAAAGCAGTATTTAATCATAATAATGTGATTCATGCTGGCCCATAAATGAGAATTTGAAATCATTGAAAAACGCCCCAGTCGAGCATAAATTACATTGGTGACTGCTCAGTGCTTCCTGTGAGAATGAGGTGTTGATGTGAGAAGGCAAATCAAGTGGTGTGCACTTAGACCAGTAGAGACTTCAACAGAGAGAGTGTAAGGGGCAATGACTAGTTTTTTAAAGAATGGACAATGAAGGAACAAAAAAGAACAGAACACGTCATGTTTTTCTTCTTCCAGGGTAGACATTTTGAGGTGAAGAGATAGAAATTGAGAGGTTAAACCTTTTGCTGCTGCAGTAGTGATGAGGTACAAAAGAGAAAAGAGACTATTTTCTGTTCTGTGTTATTACGTTGTTTCCTCATCAAAAACATACTTGGAGTTTAGTTTTTTTCATTCACACGTTTAAAACACAAATCTATATTCTCTCGAACGGAAAACACTCGATTCCACCTTGTGATGTCATGTGGTAATACAGGAAGCGCTCCACTGTGTTTTTAAACTCCACACACCTTTCACTAGAATTATTTGGATTATTTAAGACCTGGAATTGTCAGTCTCTACTAAGCAAAATGTTGTTTTCTTGTAATTTACCACTACATGACATCACAAGGTAGAACAGAGCATTTTGAGCTTTGGGGATGTAGACAGACTTATAATAAAGGATTACTAAAATGTGAATGAAACAAAACACAGCTTCAGCTATGTTTTTGATGAGGTAACAGCTTTATAACACGGCTTAAAGCTCACAAGAGTCCATTTTGCGTGATATAGAGAGGGAGAGAAAATTGAGAGAAAACAAATTGATAAATTGGTTTGGACGAGATAAAAACACAAACAAATCTGGTTACCTGATTTATCGAAAAGGCGCTGTACCTGATTTTACTGTCTTAAAACATGAAAAATAGAACTAGTCTGTATTCTTAGCATCCCCGTCCCTGTGTCTGGGTGGGTTTCCTCCAGGCTTTTACCCCAGCAACCTCATTATTTTTAAGCTTTCTACCATATTATAAGATAGTTCAAACCATCCTTATTGTTAGCTGTAAGGTTCTGTCCAATGCTTAGCCCTCAATCCTACGTCACCCATGCTCCCACACGACAATTCTCCATAAATATACAAAAACATGATACAGAACTGTACACAACACCTTGAGAAATCTAGTGCAATAGTTTCAACAGTAAAACGCACGGAAAAAGCCGTAAAAGATAGCATGGTGATCTAAATGTCATGTGTTGCCAGTTAATAACCTATAGAATTAACTCCTCTTAAACATGTGCATAAGGCTTTTAGAAAACAACATTCTAAAATGTGCGCTTACTGAACCCAAGTTTAGCAAAATGTATGGATGGAAAAGCAAGCTTCTTGGAGTTACCTGTACCAAACTGTTTTAAGACGGTACACAAAGTAGCATGACTCCATCTAGTGGTGAGATTACATTGTCCAGAAGTACACTAATTTTTCATAACTTCTCATTAAATCATAAATTAATAAGTAATATGTGCTCCTAAACTTGGATTATACAAATAATTTGCCAAAACTGGGACTTTATCTCAGTATTTTTTGGATGTTATGTGCCATGTTATTTTTACTCTGCACTGTCATCCAGCGTGTAATCCTTCTTAAATGTTGGCTTAGAGGATTTCCAAGAGATTATCAAACACACTAGTTTTAATTCCCAATTTCACGCTGAGCTAAATATTTGTAATACAGGCTTTATTGATCTGTTCTGTGATTGCACCATTGCACTCTGGGAAATATTTTACTTTTCCGCAACTGAGTACTTTAGAAGTTAATAAAAATGTGACTTTCTTCATGTTGCAGGCTGGATATCAGATTACACAGCAGAGGTGCCCCATTGCGGTGGATGGGGTGTTACATTACAACCTGATGGGAGGAAAGAAGAAGAACCAGGTGGTCAGAAAAAGTGTACGCATCAAACAGATTCAGCTGGAGCAGGACAGTGGCAAGAGTCTCCATGACGACCTGCGGAGTCAGACCCTCATAGACCTCAACAGAGCAGGTAACCTTGAGGCCAAAAGACATTATTCTGTTTGTGTGTGATCAAAAAGCAATGTGGTTGTCAATAGAAGGCGCAAGGACTTTCCCTTTGCTTATTATATATTAAGCTAGAATGAGGCTCAAAGCAATAGCTGCAATTATGATCTTTAACTTGATTTTTTTTTTCAGCACACAATATTCAACTGGGTTTGCACTTTATACAGTCCCGAAAGTCATATTTACCATTGTACCAGGGTAGCCGCAGGGTCTTAAAAGTCTTAAAAAGGTCATAAATTTCATGTTCCTAAATTAAGGCCTTAAAAAGTCTTAAATTATGTTGTCCAAGTCTTATTTTTTCACAAAGGTTTTAAATTTCATTAGTCTATTTTTTTGTATACTCAACCGGGCTGCAGTGCAAAATGTTAAATTGAGGGAGCAAAAAAACAACATGAAATCATGTAACGTGAATGAAAGTCTAATTTGGAGTATGCACAAACAATACTTTGGTTTCTGGCACTGGCGGCAATGAGTAAACGATCAGTAGAGTGGAGGAAGACGTTGGATGGATCATGGGGAAGTGTACGTTTAATCCACAGTGGCTCTTAGATTCTAGATATAGCACTGTAGTTGGTTGGTCATTATTAGAATTGGATCTGATGTTTTTTGCATGCATAATGGGTGCGATGTTGGTCTTAATTTTCATTTAAGTTGTCTTAAAAACGTCTTAAAAAGGTCTTTAAAAAGTCTTAAAATTGTAAATACATTAGTTTTGTTGTCACGTTCCCAGGTGTAGGTCTAATGGAGCTGGTGATGGAGCCGGACATGAGCTGTGGGGAGGAAGCCTCTGCTGCAGTGCGAGAGCTGCAGCTCATCCTACAGGCTTTGGGAACCTGTGAAGGGAACATGTCTGGTACTGTGGATATCTCTCTCTCCCTCTCCCTCTATCACTCTCTATCTCTTTCTGTTTGTCTCTATCTCTCTCTCCCTCTCTGTCTCTATCTGTGTGTGTATGTCTCTGTCTCTCCCTCTCTCTCTCTTTCTCACTCTCAAATTATCCTCCAAAATATTAACAATAACACACAAAGAGTTCCACCCCCTCTAGAAGCATTATTTATGTATAAGGTGAGATTCAGATCAGCTCAGACCTCAGAGCAGCACGGCACACACAGCCACACAGCCCCATCAGCCTGCCTTTTAGCATCCACGACCACCTATGCAGTGAGAGCTGTCAGAGCGCTGTTATTTAAACACTATATCATGCAACAGTCTTAAACATCAGTTTTTCTGGAGAAATTAAGTGTACTGTTAATACGGAGGGATGAGTCAAACTACACATAAGAGAGCGGCGAATGGCAGCAGAAAGGAAATCAATCATTATATAAGCTTTTATCTGCCGCTTTGAAATTATTGTCCATTTGGCCCTTTTTGGAATTATTGATCGCACATCGTAGAAGGTCAAAATTATTGTACAAATACATTATTGTACATTTGGCAACCATGTCTCTCTTTGTGTCTGTCTGTCTCTCACTCTGTGTCTCTCTCCAACTCTGTCTCTCTCTCTCTCTCTCTCTCTCTCTCTGTGTATCTCTCTCTCCCTCTCTTTGTGTATCTCTCTATCCCTCTCTCCGCCTCTCTCTTCTTTCTCTCCCTCTCTGTATGCCTCTCCATCCCTCTCTCCATGTCTCTGTCCCTCTCTCTCTATCCCTCTCTATCTCTCTCCAACTCTGTGTGTCTCTCCAGCCCTCTCTCCATCTCTCTCTCTCTCTCTCTCTCTCTCTCTCTCTCTCTCTCTCTCTCTCTCTCTCTCTCTCTCTCTCTCCCTCTCTGTGGTTCTCTCATCTCTCTTTCCAGCTCTCTCTCACTCTCTCTCTGTCTCTCTCTTTCTGTCTCTCTGTGTGTGTGTCTCTCTGTCTCCTAGGCTCTGGTCCCTGCTGGTGACTGTGTTTCTGCTTGTGTCTCTCCATCAATCTCTCCATCTCTTCTCTCTCTCTCTTCCTCCCTGTGTGTCTCTCCATCCCTCTCTCCATGTCTCTGTCCCTCTCCATCCCTCTCTCTATCTCTCTCTCCCTCTCTGTGTGTCTCTCCATCCCTCTCTCCATCTCGCTCCCCCTCTCTGTGTCTCTCCGTAATTCTCTCCATCTCTCTCCTCTCTCCCTTTCTGTGTATCTCTCCATCCCTCTCTCGTCATCTCTCTCTCTCCATCTCTCTCTCTCCCTCTCTGGATCTGTCTCCATCCCTCTCTCCATGCCCCCCTTTCTCCCTCCCTCTTTCTCTCTCCCTCTCCCTGTCTCTCTGTGTGTGTGTGTGTGTGTGTGTGTCTCTCCCTCTCCCTGTCTTTCTGTCTGTGTGTGTGTGTGTCTCTCTCTCCCGGGCTCTGGTCCCTGCTGGTGACTGTGCTTGTGCTTGTGTTTGTGTTTGTGCGCAGAGGGCCAGCTCAGAGTGGACGCCAACGTGTCTGTGCACCGACCTGGAGAACCCTTTGGCGTCAGGACGGAGGTGAAGAACATCAACAGTGCACGATACCTGGCTCGAGCCATCGGTAAGAGATAAAAAGAGATTTAGAAAGCACAAGATGGCAGCTGGCAAAAATATAAAGTAGTAGATTTTTTATCATTTAGATGTTGAACACGTTTTTACAAGCTCTATTTCCTTTGGTTGAAATGATGTCATTGTTTCAACATTTCCAGACATTCAAGAGCATTAGTGCATTTGCGTAAAAGGCAGTGGTTCGATTGCCACAATTCCCACTCCCTGTTGTACTGTTGTTCTGTCTGTGGGCAAGGCATCTATGGGCTATTTAATCCATTTACTATTAGTAGCAGATAGTTTTGAAGTTTATGTTTTTAGAAAAGTTAACTATGAGCCTTAAGCCATGTTATAATGTTGTCACCTTATCAAAAACAAACCTGATTTTGTGTTTGTTTCATTCACACAAGTTTGTCTACACATCCAAAGCTCAAAATGCTCTACTCGATTGAAGAAGAGATCCGAGACACTCTGATATGCTTTGCTATTATTTTATTTCATGTCATACACCAACACATTTCAACTTGTGTCTTCATCAGGGCATGTAAAATTCACAGGTGTGTACAAATGATATTTAAATGTACAAGTCACATGACAACATTTCCATGTGACAAATTACCCATACAAAAGTATATACATACATGATAAGGGACAGAAGTGCATCACATAATATGAGCATGCACCAGTCTGGATACAGATCTCCTGTAACCCATGGTCTGTGAACAGAGTGGTGCATGCTCATATACAGAAAATCCTGCCAGACATATATTTGCACAAAAAATTATAAACAAGTGAATATGAGATAAACAATGGCAGAGACTGCAGATATGAAAACAGGCAACTGAGATATTACAGATAACATGAGAGTGCCATTTCCTCATTTAATCATGGAGAGGTTGTGGCTCTTAATTCATGGATCGAGTAAGACTCGCATTGTAAAAGGTGCTTAAGTTGATCTCCTCCCTTAAGGTTCTGTGGTACATGCTCACTCACCACAGCTTTTAAGGAATTTGGGCTACTATGACTGACCAGTTTGTAGTGTTTTGCCATAGGATAGTCTATATTCTGAGAATGAATGGCATATTTGTGCTCTGCCAGGTGTTCTTTAAATTTGTTTTAAGTCCTGCCAGAAGAAGCAACCACATTCACGCTCCAACCTGTATACAACAAATGTAGTATTGCATGTTGCGAAACCTCTGCATGAAAATGCTCAAAATGCTCTGTTTCACCTTGTGATGTCATGAAGGACTGAAATTATCCACATGATTCTAGTCAAGGTGTAGGGACTTTAAAAACACATTGGAGCATTTTTGGTATCTCCACATGACATCAACAAGGTGCTACAAAGTTGTTGTTTTTTGCCTGAGAGAAGAACACAGCCTAAATAAGTAGGATTTTTGTGTTAAACTTGTGTAAATGAAACAAATCACAAATCCAGGTACGTTTCTGATGAGGAAACAACAAAGAACGTAGATCAGAAAATAGTGTAATATGGGCCCTTTAAGCACCATCCACACATGCATATTATGTTACATCAAATAAGAATGAATGCGAGATATAGAAAAGAGCTGTATCGACAACGCAGTACTATAGTCTGTCTTTAAGCTCGCACTTCAAGTTTGTAAACCTCTATAATTACCATCTCACATAAAACCAGACTTCCATATAATGATAAACAATGGGCTGCGTGTTTGCTACGAGTGGCTGTGAATTGACTTCTCCAGCTGCTCAAAAGGCTCACATTTTATGCTCCCCGGCTGCAGATAACGACTTTAGCATAAAAAGCTTGAATTTTAATGTTCTTTTTGTCGAGTTTGATGCGTAACAAGGCCTCACTTTTGTCAATATAGTTTTATTCGCCGCGCAGACGAGTTGGTATTTAAAAGTCATGCATAAAAATAAACATAATTCGTCTCTGTTACAACACAAAGTGCGTATTGCCAGTGAATGGGAGCAGATGTTTGGCGTTGCTACCATGATGAGATGTGCTTGTATTTTTCCATTGGACGTTATGTCTTATCTGTATCCCTGTATATCCAACAGACTATGAAATCCAGAGGCAGATCCAAGTGCTGGAGAGGGGAGGCACGGTGCAGAATGAAACCCGAGCATACGACTCCAAAGCTGGGTAAGACGCAGCGGTCTCCTCCTCAGGGTGGGATCAGTGCCTGGTTCATTAGTCAGAGGGACGCGAGGAGCAGGGACTAAAGTAATGATGATGGATAGAGCTATTTGGAGGCCACTGTCAGGTGTTGTGTGGGCCGCTCACACACAGCCGAGGCCTACGTCAGCCTCAGCCATTCCACAGCGGCAAGTGTTCAGCTGCAGACAATATGTGCTAATTTGTGTGACTGATGTGGCCAATGATGAAACTGGCAACAAACGAACTTGGTTATAATACTGGCTCCTATTAAAGTGAAACTCTTAAACTTACTCAAGGTTGTAGGGCTATCAAAAGTATCAAGAAGCTGATACTAATCGATTCTAAAACAAGTATCGAAACTAGATACTGTATTTTTCGGACTATAAGTCGCTCTGGAGTATAAGTTGCACCAGTCAAAAAATGCGTAATGAAGAAGAAAAAAATCATATATAAGTCGCACCAGACTATAAGTCAGTTATAGTAATAACAAGAGAATAGAGAACAACAGGCTGTTAACGTCACATATGAACAGTTCTTCAGATAACTATAGCATAAACAACAGAACAGAACAAGTTGACCAAACTCTCGATCACCAAATCCATTGAATTCTTCATCCTCTGTGTCACTTCTGAGTAACTTCTCGACCTCCAGAGGTAAACAGAGCGCTGCTTCCTCTTCTGTGTAGCTGTCATCAGACTCAGCATCAGTTCCAGTTAGAATTATTCTGGCCTTTCTGAATCCCGACAGCATGGTTTCAGTTGTCACTGAAGTCCAGGCTTTGTTGATCCATCCAATGGCTTCCAGGAAAGTTGCATGGCGCACCTCCTGGTTGTCACAACTTTCTCCCTCATTTCTTCCTTTCTGCTGCTCGATTACCGTTTTCGGCTGCATTTTGCTACTTGCAGCTTCTAATCTGCAAAATATGATTTTCTTTTTGGGGGCATTTGTGTTCAATCTTCTCAGTCGTCTTTATAAGTTTGTTTAAATTTTTAATTTTCAGTGGTACAGAAGTAATGGTGCGATCGACTGACATGATACAGACAGGACAGAGGCTCTTTCTGCAGCGGGAGTGACAGTGGTACAGGAGTAATAGGAGCAGCAGATATTGGCACACAAGCCTAGAGCGCCCTCTCACACCTGTCAGTGTGGACATTTTAATATATGTCGCACCAGAGTATAAGTCGTAGGACCACCCAAAGCATGAAAAAAAGTGCAACTTATAGTTCGAAATATACAGTACTCATTTGAGCAGCTGAATGGCTTTAGAATGATTTCGAGTTGTATCAGAACAAGTATAAGAGTACATAGACTAGTATACGCCCATTGACCACTATGGAATCTACCTGGACCACTGAGGGATTACACAGATATACTGTACATCATGATGGTAATATAAAAGAAAGTACTATTATTTAAGATTGATAATCACATTCTGTTGTCAAAAGAAAGAAAAGGATGTTGAGTCTGTTCCTCAGTATTGATTGACAGAGGGCAGAGACCAATTAAAGGAGCACTGTGAAACATTTCTGGTGGAATTTGTGCCACCTGCTTGTCTCCATGGAAATGTTATTGTTTTCCATTAGAGTGTTCACAGTAAGAATGCATGTATACAAGACGGAGATGTTTAATGCCATAGTCTTGAATATTCCAAGCAAAGCAATAACATCTCCAAGTTATATAGTGTACTTTTAAGCTATCCACACATTTTGGCGAGACAGTGTTTTGGCCCAGGGTTTGAGTTTAGCCCAGATGGAGACTTGAATCTTTTCTGTTTTAGTCCTGGTTTAGGCCCAGGTTGAGTTTCAGGTTTAGTTCCCAGTTTTTCCCATTCTGATATGTTGTAACTTGTGAGTGTCAAAAAAATGAAATATGAAATACTTCTGTCTTGCTTATTTAAATTGTTTAATTTCAGCTCTATCAAATGTCCAAACTAAAATTGTGTGTGCAGATAGGTATTGCTTGTTAAGTTATATGTTGATGGGATGAACAAGTAAACCTTAATGCTCCACAAACCAAAACTAACTAATTCCGATTTTCTAGTTAACATCATGTAGGTGCCTGCATTGACATATTCATCATTATTCTGCTGTTGTCTTCAGGGAGACCATCCCCATGAGAGACAAGGAGGGCCTTCAGGACTACAGGTGAGCTCTCTGTATTGACACATGGTTTTGATATCAGCGCAAGATCTGGGACCTCAAACACAACCCCGGGTTAAAAATAAACCAAGGCAAATAAACATATCACTCAGGGCCGCTCCTCAGTCGCATTTTTATTTTTTTATATATAATTGGTGCTGTGAGTGTCCTGTAATTTTTATTCATAGGTAGGGCTGGGTATCATTAAGAAGTTGCCAATATGATACATATCTAGATACTCAGACCACGACAAAGATACATGTCTCGATACAGTGCACTTTCGATTCGATACAATATATTTCAAATCGATTCAATATGGTTCCGTAAAAAATAATGTCTAAATCATGACTGTGATACTAAAAGTCTTTGTTGAACCACTTCTTGTGCAAAGTTCATATGTAATATGCACATTTTAATCATTAAAACAGTGAAAATGTCAAATGCATCGCCTAAACAAGCAACAAAACTGTAGCGCTGTAACAAAATAATTTAGTAAAATATACCAAAAAAATACTCTTGGCAATATATCGATATAGCAACCCACGATATCAATAATGTATCACCATATTAAACGATATGGTACATTGATATTTTGATATTCATAGGGTTGTTTTTTGTTTAGATTAATTCAAACTTGCTGTATTTTCCAGACTGTAAGTTGCTCCGAGTATAAGTCACACTTTTTGGGGAAATGTATTTTGTAAAATCAGAGACCAGGAACCAACATTTCATCTTGAAAGGCAAGTTACAGTAATAACAATAGAACAGAGAACAACAGACTGAATAGGCGTTAATATGTTAACATAATATATTAACAGTTCTTCAGATAATTATAGCAGAAACAACATAACATAAGTTTACTAAACTCACAGTCTCACTCCAAATCACTAAATCCATTGAATTCTTCATCCTCAGTGTCACTTCTGCATGATCTCTGGAGATAAACCATAGATCCATGATGTAAACAGCGCGCCGCTTCCTTCTCTGCGTCGCTGTCGTCAGACTCAGCATCAGTTCCAGTTCCCAAACAGGATGGTTTCAATTGTCATTCAAGTTCAGGCTTTGTCGATTCATCCAATTCCAGGAAAGTTGCATGGCGCACTTGCCTAGTTTACTAAAGCTGTATCCCAAAGCTGCTCGATTACCGTTTTCAGCTGAATATTTTACTGTTTGTAGCAAGACAGCGGGTATTTCTACAGAAGGCATGCGCAGTAGAGTGTGAAGTGACAGTGGTACAGGAGTAAAAGTAGTACTACATACTGACACACGAGTCTAGGGCCTCTCGCGGCTGTCTGTCTGAAAATTTTAATATATAAGTCATACCGGAGTATAAGTCGCAGGTCCACCCAAACCATGAAAAAAGTGCGACTTAAAGTCTGAAAAATACGGTAATTGGTACAAAATATGAAATTTCCTAAAGCATTTTCTACTTTGAAAATTTGAATATGTAGTTAAGTTACATTGTTCTCAAATAGAGGTTCACAAGGCATTGTGTTGTATTGCGAAATTATTTGAAGATTATACATTATTCTGTCCTTTTTTTTAAAGAACACAGATTATACTAAATTGACTTTTTGGACATTTAAACCATGTTAAAATAGTGTTCACGTATCACAAACATACCTTGAGTAGTGTTTAGTTTAATTCACGCTTGCTTCATAAATCCATTAATCCAAAGTCATAAAAAATGTTCAATGCTCTTTTACATATTGGTAGTTTAATTACATCAAAGATAAAACTCATACGCAGTTTTTAAGCCCTTAAACCATTGACAACAAAGGGGAAAAGGACTTCATTTGTGTTCTAAATATTTATTTCTGTTGCTGAGAGTAGAGGGAGCTCCCATGCTTAATTGATGCATTGGAGATTGACATGAAGTTTATAAAGAACATTTTACATACACTTATCCAAAGGTGTTGTTAAAAGAGAAGAAAGGAAGATGTTAAAAGAGAATTAAAGCCACAAGAATGCATAATATGTGTTCATTAACTTGTGTCAAATATGTTGCTTGTTGGTATGCTTATTTTGGGAATAGTGGTTTAAAAAGGTTGGAGTGCTTTAAACAACACTTCTTACCTTTTAAGTACATATAATTTAGACCATTACAGGCAATTTGAGAGCAAGATTTAAGATTGCACACTCAACACTTGGACAGGTGAAGACTGATTGAGACCAGTGATTAGGTGACTCAGTGACATTGCAGACTCCCTCTCCACTGAGCTTGTTGTTTTGCTGGTTTCAGGTTCATGCCAGAGCCTAACCTTCCTCCTCTGATGGTTTATGAGGACCGAGCCTCGATGCCCGCTGGTCTGGACCTGTGCCAAGCCGTGGTGGTGCAGGAGATCAGAGACGCGCTGCCCGAGCTGCCCAGTGTGACCCGGGACAGACTGGTGCACACCTACAGCATCCTGCCAGAGCACAGTTTTACATTAGTGGTGAGTCTGAACAGACGCAACTCTCACTTTACATGCGGGCTAGGATCATTTCAGGACTAACCTCCTTCTAATCAGGGCTGTGAAATTAGTCAAATTGTAATTGTAACAAATTGTGATCCAATAGTCGTCCATTTTAGTCATTTGCTTTGGTCTTTTTAATAGAAAGCTCAGGTGCAACCCACTACAAATGATACAATGCTCCGTTGCTCTATAATAATTGAACTTGTGCAGCCTCTGAATTTTGACTATCTTCACTACCCTTCAAAAGTTTGGACACCCTCTGATTCTGATTTCTTTATTTTTACAACTTTCTACATTTTATATTCGTACTAGGGGTGTAATGGTACATGTATTCATGCCAAACCGTAGCAGTACAACTAGCAGATCTGCACTTACTGCAAACAATATGGACAAGTTGTTTTTTCTGTCCAAAAATATGAAGATTGAGTAATACTTCATGATGGAACTGTTAGTGCTGAGCTTTACTTTTTGGAAAGTTTTGTTTACTGTTTATAAGGAATTTATAATTTTTTTTAAAATAATATTTCATACATTTGTTGCTTATTTGAGAATATTTACTTAACTTTAGTATTAGCAAGCAGCACTTTGCATTTATTTTATTTTCCCATTTGTACAATGTTAAAACAGATTGTTGGTTTAATAAACAGACAAATAAACAACAAGCAAATGGTTTTGCATTCTGTTCCCAAACTGTACCAAAAATGAACCAAACCGTGACCTCAAAACCAAGGTATGTACCGAACCATGATTTTTGTGTGATTTTACACCCCTAATGTGTACATAATGAAGACATCAAATATATTTAGTAAGATATACTATTTGCTACATACTCCATGTATCTTGCTTCATATATTTGCTGTCTTCTGTATGTATCTAAAATGTATTGTGGATAGTAGAACAAATAAAGCAAGTTTGGTGTGTCCAAACATTTCACTGGTACTGAACCCTGGAGTTCATAGCTGCCTTCACTAAAATGATAAATGCTCGTATCTCTGTTGTATTACCCAAGTTTGTTCGAGTTGAAGTAGCATAAAACATGTCGAGTAACTATATTCGAGTAACTATATCAAGAATTATTACAGTTACACATTTTATTCTAAAACATCAACATCTTTGCCATCTCTTATTGGCCATCTCTCGCTGTACGCCGTCTCCCCTGTGTTTCTATGAGCCTAATTAGACCATGAAATGCTGTATTCTGTTTGTGTGCAGAATGAGGACGGTCTGGTGGAGTATTTTGAGGCTGTGATGGGGCAGACCAAAATGAACGCACGGAAGGTGATTGGCTGGGTGACAAAGGAGCTGCTGGGTCAGCTCAAGCAGAAGGACCAAAGTGTGAGCCAGAGGTGAGATCAGAGCCCACTCTGCAATTTCACTGCTCTACATCATACACACACCAGTCTATGTTCAATTGTATCTATGTGTTATAGTACAGTTGAATACTATATGCAAATAATTAACACATCTAGACTGCTAGATATATTGCTGTAACCTGTAGTACGCAAAAATGACTCTTGTGAGCCTTTATCCATGTTAGAATGTTGTTACCTCATCAAAGTCATACTTGGAGTTGTGTTTTGTTTCACACATATTTGAGTAACCCTTTATTATTAGTCTGTTTACATCTTCAAAGCTCATAATGCTCTGTTGCACCCTATGATGTCATGAAGCTGGAGTTTTAAGTTAACAGCTTTTTTTTCACCATGTTTTCAGTAGAGAATGGCAATTGCAGATCCGAAATAATCCAAATGATTGTAGTGACGGTGTTTAAAAACACAGTGGAGCAGTTACTGTATGAAGAACTCAGCCTAAATATGCAGGGTTTGTGTGTTAAATGTGTGAATGAAACAAAACACAACTCCAGGGTATGTTTGATGAGAAAACAACATTATAACAAAACAACATTGATCAGAAAATAGTGTAATATAGGCCCTTTAAGCTTAAACTCGCTGTACCAGATTTTTACTGTCTTGAACATGAAAAACAGAAGTAGCTCATTTTGCAGTGACCTTTGCAAAGCTCTGTTTGCAAAGGTCCTAACTCATCGTCATCCTAATGTATTCCTAGCTTTTTAATTATTCACTGTGATGTGTTGATAAGCACGTTTTACAACTTTCTGAGGCCAGAGCAGAGTTTTTGCACCACACCACTGCTAGTACTACCAACAACTAGCATGCTAATTGCACACCAGCATTACTTTTTGTTAATTTGGTTCTTGAACGATAAAGTGCTTTATAATTGGATGCAGACAGCACATGGTGGTTTGGTACAATTTGGTTGTAAGAGCCGCTTTTACAATATAGAGAAAAAATTGACTTTATTATATGAAAATACTATGCCCCATGCTGCTCTCCTGCCACCTGCTTTTCTTCAACTTATTATTGCATTGCAGAGTTGTATTTGATTGGTCTACAGACTGGAGTATTTCAACCTATAAACCATTTCTTTTCCAGGCTGTATTAGACTTCGGTGCGCTCTGCTTTAAATTGGCTGTGTCTGAGCTTGGGAAGGCAATAATTTAAGGTTTTATTGTGACATCAGGCGCTTTTAGCTCTGCCACATTCTGAACCCATCCCTCTTTAAACAGCAAGCTTATGGTAAAACACACTCATTACTTTTTGTCGTAAAACACTGCACTTCATTTTCACAGCCAAACAAGCCTAACCAAGCAAGGGACAAATAATTAATTGGACATAAACTCTAAAGAAGATAATAAATTGACTACAGGAACAGACTTTGGGGTTTAACTTTGATTGATTCGGCTGCACTAATTAAACGTGATTTTGTTTCCTCAAAGGAATTTAACTTTGAAATGTTTGTGTGTTTGTGTGTGTCTAAAATCCTTAATCATGAATTATAATTTATTCTTTGCGAATACTGAAACTGGACTGTTAGGGGAAGCTTCAGGCTCTGTCTGTGTTGAGATGCCCTCAAAATGGTTTGGAGCTGGTGCAGCTCTCCTCTGGTCCATCTTTCCAAACCTCAACGAACCGCGCCAATGGAAATAAGGCTTTGGTGACCAGCTGCTCTAAATGAACCCATAAGAAAAGTTATAACCACATCTCTATGGAGACAAGCTTGTGGTGGACCCTCCCCCCGAAAGGTTATGTAGTGCTCCTTTAAAATTATGAATCTTATTTCACAGTTTTATGCAATCTTAGCTATTGTTTTTGCTAAGACTGTTTTGAAAAATCTGTCAAATGGATCCTTTTCAGAGGGATGTGTTGTTTTGATTGCTCCCCGCTGAACTCCTCCTTTCCCCGGTACACAGCTTTGTGTAAACACTCCAAAACACTCCAGAATGCTAATGACATTGTTTTGATACTTTATGAGACTAAGTGACGTTGCCATGGCACCCCTCACACTGACGTGTCAAAAAAATCTGAAGACCCCTATCTAACCAGCGCCTCCGAAAATGGCAAAGCTCGTCTCCTACTGCTTCTGTTTGTGCCATGCTGCGATGCTAAATATCACAGACTCTAGTGGTGTTTGAAACCTCATGAAATAGACCATTATTGGATCCATAGATGAGTGGATGACTGCCAGATTATGCACAAAAGACATATCAATCCGGAGAGACGTGTGTAAAAATTGCTGTATTGAAAACATCACACATGGGTCAGTTAAAATGAATGAGAGTGTCATCTCTTGATTTAAATGGACAACAGTAAATTAGTATTTGTAAGAAAAGTTGTTATTGTGAACATTGGCTGTATCTTATCTAGAGATCGACTGATATGTTTTTTGGGTTTTTTTTTAATGACCGATACCAATACCGATCCCGATGGTGTTTATAATCCAGAGCAACCGATGGCTGTTTATCATTATTATTATTATTAGGAACCAATTCTGTAATTTTAATTTACTACAAACTACCCCACAGCCCCTTTTCTACACAAACACTTAAGAGAGCTGTGTATCACATTTAGCAATTGCAGTTTTCTCTTCATATTAAAGTATTCAAATCAATCTTTTTGTGTATGTTTTTAGCAGCAAATCGACCAACGCAAAATATTAGCCTATGCTGGACATTTAAGGCTGATGCATGAAAAATCTAACTATACATATTTTGAAAGCACTAGACATGTTTGGTGTAAGTAAGTAAGTAAATAAATAAGTAAATAGGTTTGTGGATAGTCCAGATTCCTGCTTTAGTTGTATTTTACCCCCATGTCCTCACACTGTCACAATGCTGTCATTGGAGTTTCACCAGATTTCACTTATTGTGGCATTCAGATAGAGCTCTACCCATAAAGTGCAGCCTGTCTAAGGGTGACCTAAGTTGACAGATGTGCCATTTCAACATTTGGCTTGTCTGATGTAGAGCATTATTCCTTTTACTTTTAAGAAACCAGCAGAAAGCAAAAAGTTTCATATATTCTTATAATGGCATATGACACAAGAAACTTTGCTAAAACAGCCACTTTTCTTTTCAGGTTTGAGTGGTTTGCTGATTAAGACCATGTTTTTCTTAATAGATCTCAGCCTCACTAAAGTACTAGCCAGATTTATTGGCTCCACACACTGTGTATACTGTATTGAAATATGTTTTCAGTACACCAAAAGTCACATCTGTATAATTGAATGATTTTACTTGTACACTTTCTTCATTCTTAGCTGTGTTCCAACTCAGTTGCAAACAAATGTTATCCATTATGCTATCATAAAGTTTCTATCTATATAAAGTTGTACTACATAACTTTTCTGGTGAAGAGCACTCCACCTGCTTGTGTCCATGGAGATGTTATTGCTTTACCCTGAATATTCCACCCGTCAGAAGTTTTAGAACACCCTAATTTTTCCAGTTATTTATTGCAATTCAGGTCGTACAAGTCCAATGAAGAGCCTGAAATGCTATAAAGGGAAGAACTGAACAGCCAGAGGTTAAAAAAAAGTCAGAGTCCAAGCTCTGTCAAAACTCCCTCAGGAAAAAGAACAAGATGGTAAAGTTTGAAAACATGGAGTGTCCAGCACAGTGTCCGGACTTAAACCCCATCGAGCTGGTTTGGGATGAACTGGACAGAAGAGTGAAGCAACCTACAAGTGCCACACATTTATGGAAACTTCTGCAACAGACTTGGGAAGAACTTTCTGAAGAATGTTTGATTTCTATGGTAGGGTTTCTATGGTACGAGCCACGAGTGTGTTCAGCTGTTATATTTGCTAAGAAGTGGACACTTTGATCAATCAAAAGTTTAGAATACATTTTGGTCTATAAATCGTTTCCATGATTTCTTCTTCAACTCAAATTGCTTATTTGTTCTATGCTTTCATGTGAGAGTGCAATGACACAATAAACTGAATCATTTTCAGTAAAAACCTGGAAAAAGTGTCGGCCTCTAAAACTTTTGATGGTAGTGTAGTTGTTTCCTCTTCTTATTTATCCTCTCAAAGTTGTATTTGGAGTGTTTTGTGTACGTTTGAGCAATCTTTACTCACTTCTTTTCAAGATGCCATATCTCTTTTCACTACGACTGGCATACGCCAACTGCTTTGTACTTTGTTCCCCAATTTAATTTTTTTAATCGGTAATATGTGTAGGATTGAGCAGAGTCATTTTGTTGCAAATGAAAAAAATGATCATGGTTAGTTCTCATTGGGCAGCATAGTTTTCTAACGCGGAAGTCATTGGATTTGTTTCTTTTATTAAGTAGTCTTAGGTGAATATTGCTTTAAATAGTAATATAAATTTTAATTGCTGGGTTTCAGATGACAACACAAGTAACATTATATCGGAGAATTTTATTTAATACAGATGGGGGCGCTAAAATTAATACTGTTAGAATGCAGATTTATGTTGTAATACAATGATAATACAATGTCTCCTTCGTACTTTTATACAAAGCATTTCTTCAAGGTAATCCAACCATCTTTTCATCTTCATTTCAGCCCTATCTCTCCATCTGCGCTGGCCGAATTGCTGGAACTTCAGGAAAACGGGCACATTTCCTCCTCGGTCGCTAAGCAGGTCAGTCTGTCCCGTAATAGTCAACCTGCACGAGCGAGATAGGTTTGGTTGTGTGTAACGTGTGTGTGTGTGTGTGTCGCGGTGGAGCTCAGGTGTTCCAGGAGATGTGGGGGTCACCGGGAAGGAGGGCGCAGGACATCATCGAGGAGAAGGACTTGGGACTCGTTAGTGACACCGAGAAAATACACAGCATCTGCCAGAAGATAGTGGACTCACACCCAGAGGAGGTGAGGAGAGGGGAGGGCGACTGAAGCAGCTTTAAGAGGAGACAGGCGGAGGGTTAGAGGTAGGGCGGCAAGATTAACTGCAGTCAAATTGAAATCTCAGTATGAATGGATGCAATTGGCAAAGCTGCAATTTTTGACGAACAATCATTTTCACAACAAAAATCTTAGTCTTATTATCAAAAGTCTTATTCTGCATACAAACTGCTTTTACAAACATGTTTTAAAATGTGATTCTAGTATTAGTTTGCCAGTTCATATTTCAGTCTTTTTGTCAATTCCTTTTGACACATTTAATTTGAACTCCAAATGTAAATCTCAAATCTAATCACAATGCTTGTGAAAAATCCCAACTGGGTGTTGTTGTTTTTTTTGTTGTTGTTGTTCTTGTAACTTTACTGATAGAAGTTCACAGTTACAGTAATTTACATCAGAGTAATTACATGGAATAGAGTGGGAGGTAATAGGCAAAAAAGAAAGAAAAGAAATTGTGTTACCGTATTTTCCGGACTATAGGGCACGCTCAAAAGCCTTCAACCCCTTCAAAAAACGACTGCGCCCCCCGCAATCCAGAGCGCCCTATAAACGAATCTACTCAGGTGTCCCAGCACGACTTCAGTAAACTACAAAGCCGCAAACACGCACGGAGCGGACAGCGACCGTGCAGCGAAAAACACCCACAGCCACACTCATCACTCCACGCGGACGGGGAATCGAACAGAGGAAGGAACTGAAGAAGCTAGCGCAATGTGCCACTTCCAGACAGCACCCTCCCTACACGCCACAACTGAACAAAGCCCAGAGTCACCGTGAACGCACCAAACAAAGTCCGACTGACCCATCCAACTGTTGTGTTTCGTTTAATGCGCCTTATAATCCGGTGCAGTTTGTATGTGAAAAAGTTCGAAAATAGAGCATTCAATGACAGTGTGCCTTATAATCCAGATCGCCCTATAGTGCGGAAAATAAGGTAATTACATGGTATTTACTCATGCTCATACTCATACACATCTATCTTTCGCTATAAGAGTGACTCATTTGTAAATGCCCAGAAAACATTGTTAGTATTTTCATGGGAATAACAGGGCTACCAAAAGTGTTCATTTTAATTTCAAAACTATTACTGTGCCGCTTGTAATGCCAAACCTCATGTTCACAATTTCTTGAAAGGAGACAGGAAAGGACAGACTCAAAATGTTTAAATTACTGCCCGACCACTCAGAGGCGCAGATTTATTTATGTTTCTTCAAGTCCACCCATAGGATTGGCGCCTATGCAAACAGCACATAATCAAAGCATAGGTTTTTGTTTTGTTTTTTTAATTTGAATTCAGTTTTGAATTGATTTCAAACACAGTCATACACCTGGTTTTACACTCTTGATGATCCTCCGTGTCTTTCCTGCTTAGGTCAATGCCATCCGAAATGGGAACAAAAAAGTGCTTAACAAACTGATGGGTCTGGTGCAGAAGGAGACCAAAGGACGAGCCGACCCTGTTCTGGTGCGGGCCATTCTACAGGACAAGACTTCATAAACTCACTGTGTCACGTTCAACTGCATTTAGGCTCCATAGCTGCAAAAGAGGGGCAGCTAGGAGGGGTTTTGGTGTTCATTTTCAGTTCAGATCAGCAGTCTATGCGCCTCTGTGGGGCTGGAGAGGGGAGCTGGTAAGGGAGGGTTTGGCCACGGTTGAGCGGTGGAAAAGAGCCACTTGGGAGCTAGTGTTGGAATACAGATTGGAACAGTGTGGAAAATCTACTGCAGCTAAAAAGTTTGAATTCAAAACTGTGGATGTGATTAGAATATTATCCTGAGTGTATTATCACCAGGGGGATTTGTAAAGAACTGCTACACCTTACAAGATGAGGAGAACAACATGGCTGGATTTCTGTTTTGTGACAACATTTATCAAGGGAAATGAGACATGAGACTTTTTTTTTATACAGTTAATATGCAAACCTAGTTGTTGTGTAAGAAAAAGATCATTTTGTTAATATTTTAAAAGAAATGTTAAATTATGAATATTTAACTCTATACACATGTTGTTGTCTTTATTCAACATGTTTGCATTTAGTTGATCTGCAACCAGATGATGTAGATGTGATGGATGGTTACTCTTCAAGGTAAGGGGCTGGTTAAGAGTAATCAGTAGTCTAATTAGTATAACATCTTAAGACCATCATTTGGTGTGACCCTCCTATGGCTCATATTTGTTAAGTAAGGTTACAGTCACTTATGGCAATAGTAACAGAGGATAAATAAATAATGAATGATGTGGTATGAATTATCAAATACGACCACCATATGCTTATATTGTGTGCATTTGGAGCAGTAAGTACATTTGTTACTCACTTACGTCGACATTAAGTATGCAGATTACCATCAAAGATGCTCTAATGTTCCATGTAAATTGAATGTCTTCTTGTAACAGAAGAGAATGAGATTTCACTATTGATTTTTTAAAACACATTAGCGTATAATTAGGCTACACCTAGTGTGTCTCTGACTTTGTGTAGCTGCCATAGTCATTACGGGACAGGCCTAAACAATGATGGGAGACAGCAGGCGTGATAGTCGCCCAGTCCAGACAGCTGTTTACAGGTGTTCCATACTTTCATGTAAGAAAAATAAATAAACTGCCTTTTAATCAGTTAATTGAATGAGTACTGAAACAATGTTTTCTTAACAATTGCACAAGTACCTGACCCACAAAAGCCATATTTGACAGGGGACAGGGATAGGTTAGCAACACATACCTGGAGCTGACCTTGAAATTGCCATAGGCCATGCACAAGGTAAAAGCTTTTTGGTGACTGTTTGCTCAATTATTATCTCACCATCTCACCTTGGCACATGTATTCACTGACATTTTGAGGTTCAAAATTTTTTTATTTAAAAAAAAGAGAGAGAGAAGTCTTTATCTTTGTTGTAAGAAAATAAAGATTTAAAATACAAATATTTGTAGACATTGTTATTTGAAAGAACCCGAGCAAACACAGGCAGGCGTTTGAGTGGGCATACAGCGCCCCCTTGTGGACAAAATACATTGTACCCATCACTGTGCTTGTGAAAATAGAGATTAACCACTGCTGCAGGAACATATTTTTAAATATTCAGTCGAGCACTATAAACCACAACAGGTCTGAATTATTATTTGTTTCCTTTTATTTTATTTTATCACTCTCAGTAAGGGACAACCAGCCCTGCCTCATGTGAAAACTCAGAACTTTCTTTGCAGGCTTGCAGCTTTTTGTCTTTATGAATGTAAATAAGAAGTCAAAGAAAAGTTAAGAAAAAAAAGAAATGCAAAGCCGTTACATTTGTTCAGTGGGTTCAATATCACATTATATTCTACATGATTTAAACAGCACATACATTATTTACAGAACACAAAATAGCAAGAGCAATAAAAACACCTATTATTATATAAATGTAAGATAAGTTTAATGTCCAACTGTGGAACATTCCAGGCTACACACTAACCTTTCAATGGTGAATAACAGATGATGTACCCTCCACTAGAAAAGTTATAAAGTGCACCTTTAAAAAACACTGATATGAGTAAATATGAGGATGTCATGCTGTAGTCTGTCATGATCACACCAGCAGATGGCAGTGTAGCAGCACTAATTTTGAGCTGAATATGATTGTTCTGAGTTAACTTTCTTTACATTGGCATAAAGGCTTTGAGAATCATCTTCATCTTGTCCGCTGGTCTCTACAGGCTTTGAACCCTGAACCTGGGAGTAGACAGTTTCCTCTTCTTCTGCACTGGGGACGTGTTTAGGAGTCACATGAGAAAAGTCAAGCTCCCCATAATGGATGGTTTCTTCTTCTGTGGATTGAGCCTGGACACATTGTCACATTCATTTTTAGGTTTGTTTAATCTCCACTGAAGCAAAAAAAATGGGTTACATTAGATAGATTAGATTTTACCTGTATGTTTTTGTCTTTGGGACTCTGGCGTTTTTTGAAACACCTGAAAAAGAGCGGTGGGGTAGTTGTATAAAATGTGTTTGTTATTAAGTTCATGAAGTTATTAAGGTGAAATTTAAGGGGAAGTATTCTACAGAGAAAAGCAGTAGTGTACACTCCTGAATTTCAGTGTTTAAACGTCAAACTAGACTTAACTGTCCTTGTGGGGAAATGTTATCTTTATGTTTGACCCATCAGACAATTCCACAGAATCAAATCATTCTAAGATCTTAACAATAATGAATCGTCAGTATTGCTGTGCTTCAGGTGACATTATAATTTTAAAGAGTTTAAATGCATAAAGTCACTGTCTCTTGCCCCCTACCAAGTATCACACCATCTGACTGTAGAATCCAGTGCATCCATAAAATAAAACTGCTCTCCACAGAAGTTGCTGTCACTTCCAGGTCCAACAGGCTCAACTAATTTCTATCTTTATTTTCTGACACAAAGCTGTGTTCATTTTTGATCGATCAAAGTGACAATGACCTTATAAAACACATGTATAAACACATATTGTGTTGAAATGTGTCATTGCTAAAAAGAAAAGAGAAAACTGAAATAAGCTTGGACTCAGAGGTGACATCGCACATGACAGTCCAGTATCCTACAAACAGAAAACTGTACAAGTATTATTATTGTTATAAAGTTACTCACCAGACAAACAGACACAAGCAGATGAGCATCAGAACTCCAACAACTGCTCCAAGAATGGCCCCCCATGGCAGAGCACCTTATAAAAGCAGTAACACAGTTAGGAATGCACAGATACTGGTGTTGGTCCCAATACAACAGACAAACTCCTGAGCTACAGCAGTGTCAAGTTCCACAGAGTCATTATGAAAATCTGCATGGACTAGAGATGCGCAGATTGCAGTTACAACCGCGGACTCTGCGGCTAAACCGCGGGTCGGGCGGATGACGTGCCGAAAAATAATATTTTAATTAAATTCGGGCGGGTGGCGGATTCACTACTCAAATAAAAAACTCTGAACTCGGAGCAAATGGGAGGGGACCGAGCGGATGGTGGGCGGGTGCTGTTTTGAAAAACTGTGGTTGCAAATGGATAGCAGGCGGATGATGAGTTTTGCGATGCGGTTGCGGATGAAAAAGTAGCCCATCCGCGCATCTCTAGGATGGACCCACAAGGATGTGTTTAGGCTCCACTCTTGTTCACTGAGATCACATGTGAAAACTGAACTGTGAATTCACGAGAAAAAACTTCAGAATCTGCACATTCTTTTTTGAGACAAATATGAATTTCAGCATTCACTTGGTACTGGTTTGTCAAAGCCTGATGGTCAGTACTGGGAATTCCAGGTGCCAAAGTGAGGCGCCAGTCATAAAAACTGCTATTGTGTCCTTAGGCAAGACACTTCACCTACATTGTCAAGTATGAAAGTGGAGTGTGTGTGTGTTTGTGATGGTTGGAAGGGCTCATGGTGCAGATTGGCAGCCTTGCTCTGTCAGTCTGCCCCAGGGCAGCTGTGGCTACATAAGTAGCTTGCCACCACTGAGTGTGGAGTGAAAGAACAATGAACTGTAAAAAGCTTTGGGTGTCTTGAAAGGTGCTATATAAAAGCCGTTAGATTAATATTAATTAATTAATTAATTAAGAGTAATTAAACATTTGAGGTAACATTTTTCTTTCATGTAATGTAAAGTTCACAAACACCTGGTGAGCTTTCAAACAGTTTCCAGTGATTATAATAGTGCTCTTTATAGTGACATACCTGTAATACTCAGTGTAATGTCTGGAGATGATTCATGTCCAAGTGTATTTGAGGCCACACAATAGTACTGTCCCTCTTCAGTGATGTTGAAGGTGTACGTGTGTCCCTGGCTCACACTGACTGCTCCCTGTGAGTTGTGTCTGAACCAGGTGACGTGGTGGACAGGAGGATTGGCTCTGCTGGAGCAGCTCAGAGTCACAGACTGACCTGCTGACAGTGGACCAGCTGGACTGACCACAACAGAGGTGTTTTTAGGACCATCTGAGGACACACAGATACGTTTAATACATTTTAACAACATAGCACCAGAACAAACCATCGACGTGGTTCACTTACATGAGACACTGAGAGTGAAGTTACTGTGGGACATTTTGAATCCTCCGCTCACAGGATATGATGCATTACACTTTATCACCAGCCCATCATGGGCGTCTGTCACAGTGATGCTCTGTGTGATTTTAGTGATATTTGTCACAGTCCTGTCTGTGTTGGTCTCTGTGAGGTTGGCAGTGTCTTGGTGGAGGTTCCATGTGAGGAGAGGAGGGGTGAGTGGACAGGGAGTGACAGCTGAGCAGGTTATAGTCACCACCTCTGTCTCTGTCTGTTTTCCAGAGACTTTTATTGTAGGGCTCCAGGGAGAGTCTGGGAAGAGAAACAACATTTGGGGAAACAACATTACAACCCAAAAAAAAGAGAATAAACTAAGAACATAAGCTCATGCTCATCACATGGAAGTGGAGGTTATTTACTGAACATGTCTAGAAGAGTGAGAATGCCATTCAAGTATTCAAACATGTGTAGTCCATAGCAGGTGTATGTTACAAAAGCAGGTAGTCCACACACACTCTGGACTTGGTCATCATCTATGGCCTGTCCACTAGTGTGGAAGGAAGCATCATCTGACCCCTGAAGTGACAGCACATTCCTCGCCATGCGTCCTGATTGGCTAAGGAGACCATTGTCAATCAGTCTCCTCTGTGCCGTGTTTCCTGTACAGTACAGAATGTGTTCAGCTTGCAAGATTTACATAAATGTTTGCTAGCAGTGTGATTCTGAAGTGCTGTATGTTTGCAAGTTTTCTCCCTGACAAAACCCACAATGTCGACAAAACGTTCTACACTGACAAAGGCTCCTGTGGTCACACCCAAAAGGCAGAGGAAGATACTAGCCATCGCACAAAAAGTTGGACTTCTGGACATGCTGAAGGAAGGTAGAAGTTACATAGCTGTAGCAAAGTCCTGCACGAGTACGGGCAAATAGTTGTTGAAACTGGCGGGTTCTAATGTGCTAAAATTTTACGGGCTGGTAGTAATTACACACGGGCAGGTCAGGACTAAACCAGGATTAATCTTGGACTTTAGAGAGAAAACCCCAAGCCCTCAGAGCAGGGTGTATGCAAAGCGCGACTGGGCTGATCGCCGCGCTTACCTCCATGAGGTGCAGAGCTCTGTGCCGGTCCTTTCTCCTGCGGTCACCTCTGAGCCCATCCTAACAGTGAGTCCGAGTTCAGGTTTAGTCCTGGGTTAGTCCTGGTTTAGACTTGGTTCAGTCCATGGTGAATGCAGTGCAAAAGTTTGGTATAATTTCGGGTTAATGGGCGGGTGCAGTGCTGTACTGTGCGGGTGGGGGTCTCCAAAAATGGACTCGTGCAGGACCCTGCGCTGTCGGGCTCCATTACGGAATAAATGAATCATCAGTTCATTACATAAAGAAGGAAGAAAATAACATAAGGACGACAGCAGCAGTAAGTTTTAAGAAGAATACAAAAAGAGTTAACTGTCCTGTCTGAGAAAAGTGTATAAAGTGTGTGGTGAGGGGTTTTACAGCCTTAAAACAGAATAATTGTAAAATATGAAGTTGGCTACTTCACGGATTTCACCTATCGCGGGTTTTTTTTAGAACATAACCCCCCTGATAAACGAGGGACCACTGTACTCATGGATCTGTAGCGATGTATTTTAGCATGTGAGTGTGTGCATGTGTGTTTTCATCATTAACTCTTGAATAATAGGAAGTGTCTTACCTCTAACTGTTATCTGAAGAAAGTCACAAACAGCTGTAGCATTAAAACCACTGTTCTGTACTCTGAAGTAATATTTGTCATCATGGTTTTGGTTTAAATTATGAAACATTGTGGTGCAGTCTTTGTTTTTCAGGTTCCCAGTGATGTTCATAGGATGAGACTTACTGGGGTTTCCACTCACTGAAAATGCTTTGTTTAAATCTCCACCAAATCCAAAGTCATGTT